ACAGAGAACAAACTGGTAGTTGTCAGAAGGGAGGGGGTTGTAGGATTGGGCAAAATTAAGTGATCAGATGAAGAGGTGTAAGATTTTAATTACAGAATAAGTAAGACCCGGAGTTGTAATATATAGCATAAGGAATATGATCAATAATACTGTAATAACTGTATGGAGACTTACCATGGTGATTATTTCTAAGGTATGTGAATTTCTAATCACTATGTAGATCATCTGAAACTAATGCAATATTGTATATAAACTGTATTTTTTAAAATGCTACTATTTTAAACAAGATGCAATGACAGACACAGCCTCCTAATGAGAGAGATAAGACCAAGCCATACTCTTGCCCAGGCCCCCTTTCCTAACCCAATGCTATGCTAAGATTGGAGTCTTGAAATGACTCTTAATATCTTATTCTAAACTAAGGCCACTGGAGGTTTGATTTGTTGTTGTTGTTGCTATTTAGTTGCTAAGTCGTGTCAGACTCTGCAACTCCATGGACTATAGCTCGCCAGGATCCTTTGTCCATGAAATTCTCCAGGCAAGAATACTGGAGTGGGTTGCCATTTCCCTCTCCAGGAGATCCTCCCGACCCAGGAATTGAACCAACTTCTCCTGCATCTCCAGCATTGGCAGGCAAATTCTTTACCACTTAGCCACCTGGGAAGCCCCAGAGGCTACATAGAAGCAACCAAATATATGGTGGAAATTGAGGGCAGACTTAAAAGGAAGATGATTATGGAGAAAGAAAAACAAAGAGAAATGGGCCTGCAGAACAAAATTCAAACACATGCAGATCTAACTCTAAATCCTAATATAATCTGAATCTTATTCTAAAATTGACAGCTAACAAAATCATCGATTGAAAGATGAATTCATTACAAAAGCAATTAACTTTATGGAAAAGTCTAGTAAGTATAAGAAGTATTCAAATAAGTATTATAAGAATGCTCAGAGACAAAAATGAGTTAATAACGTTCTGTAAAAAGAGCTATATAGTAAAAACAAAAACAGTCAAGATCAGGTAGATATGGAATGGAAACCAGTAGACATCCAAAAATTTAAAGAACAGTGACTGAAATCACAAAATAGTTGGCATCTTTTCTAGAGTAGATAAATTTCCAGGTTTCTAGTGAAAGTCATTTAAATACTACAGCACAAAAGACTGGAAATTGTAACAGAGAAATAAAATGTATATGCGAAGAGTTAAAACCTTCAAAAATTAAAAAAGTCTGATTTTTTGGATTGAAAGTGATTCTGAATTTCTAACAACTTAATATAGATTTACAACTAGACATTATAGTGAATTTGCAGAACATGAAGTATAAAGAACAAAAATTTCTTTAATTTTCCACATAGATTATCTACAAAGAAAAGAATATTAAACTGACAGCAATCTTCTTACAGTCAACAACAGATGGCAGGAAATCAATGGAATATAATTTTCAAAGTGTTGTGGAAAGTATAGGTGTACTAAAAACTGTGTAACTATCTGAACTATAATTCAAGACTGAAAGTGAAAGTAAAGTATTTTCACAGGTACTAGAAATGAAGGGAATTCATAGTCTATAGACCGACAAACAGAAAAGGATTTTGTTTAGAAGAAAAGTAAACTCAGAAGGACCAAATTTGATACACAAGAAAACTAAACCTATGTGCACAGAAATTACTTTAAAGATTCACAAATTTAACTTTTCCTATAGAAAAATAACTGTGCATATTTTAGTTTAAAGTGTAAATAATCTAATTCCTGACAAGGATGGTAGTATTTACTAGGGAAGAAAAGATACCAAGGTCTACCAGCTGTTTTAGGACAGAAATAAATATATTTTATTATTCAGCAAACTATTTATGTATGACAAAATATATAATCCTTAGAAGACTAGGATTATAACCTACATTTACAAACTAGCAGAAGATGACAGAACAAGAAAATGTTTCAATAATGTGAGAAAATAAAATGGAAGCAAAAAGTGCAAACTACAAGGGTAAAAACAAATCTAGATGCATCAACAATCTCATTAAATGCTTATGTATTAAAATCACCTATTAAAATAGACTTTCAGAATGGATTCCAAAACTTTAGCTCTATGCTACCGGATAGTCCCTTGTAGTAAAGTAATAGTCCTTGATAGTAAAGTAGTAGTCTTCACTACTCTCTCTTTTGTCTTATGATACAGGAGCAGGGGAATCAGAAGTGAAAAGGGAATTGATTCCAAGCTTAACTATGAACACAGACAAGGTAAATGACACTGCATGCATGATACCATTTGAGAATTCCTCTTGGATTCTAACTGAGCTTCTTTAGGATCTCTAGGATTTGCCCTCAGAAACACACCATATTCCAGGAATGGCCCTTATTGGTATGCTCAGCTAGACTGTTTACCATAAAGTAGGAAACTGCTTTTCAAATAACGTCAAGCCCTCATATATACCCAAAGCACCTCAAGAAAGCCTGTGACAGCCGGTTTGTAACTCACTGCAAGGCTCCTGGCCATGCTAGTGCTCTTGCTGAGACAGGCCGCACACACAGGAAGAAAAACAAGTATGGCGAAGCCCTGACACCCCATTCTCTCTGGGGTGCTTCGCCCAATACTGGCCCCCTTTCGTCCTGTCCCTGGGGAAGGGAATGGCAACCCACTCCCAGATTCTTGCCTGGAGAATCCCCGGACAGAAGAGCCTGACGGGCTTCAGTCCATACGGTCACAGAGAGTCAGACACGACTGTGTGACTACCACCACTTCGTGCTGTAACAAAGCGACTGACAGTAGGAAAAGCTGGTATAAAATTAAAAACCAGCATGTCCTACTATTAGCCCTATCTAGAAAGAGAGTGATTTTGAAAGTAGGGACCCTAATGCCCTATGTCAGCAATGCCATGTCTATAATTAAGAAAATTGTTCCAGTAGCCTAGCAGTACCACACAGGAAAAAAGCTGCAGAGGCTTGATATGAGGCCAATTTAAGCGCGGAGGAAAACTGAAACTCTAGGCACCCAAATCAGGTGATTACTCAACAGTGATTACTGGTTTTACTAAGATGTTCAATCTATTACAAACAAGCACCTACTGTAATATCCTCTGGTCAAAAATTTCTTAAAATCTCTCCTATGGGATCCCTGTATTTTAAGCCCAGCTCTTAGCAACAAAGATAGAAAAAATGCTTCTCTAAAAGTGCTGCCACACATGAACTTCAGATATGTCATGCTGAATACTCAGGCACCTCTCCCAGGAACTTTGGGATTGCACCCAACAACAGTGACCCCTCCCAGTCCCCACCCTCTTCACACACACACACACACACACACACACACACACACACACACACACACACACACACACACACACACACACACACACACACACACACACAACACAGAGGCTCCTACACAGCCGCCACATGCTACAATACCACTGTCAGACAATACTATATTTTTCTTCTTCCCAGACCTTTGGAAATGACTTCTGGTTCAGAAATCTGAACTCTAAAGTTTGTGTGGAATTACAACCTGAACTTTGATCTTTTAAATAAATATAAAAATGAATAACAACATTCTAAATAGAGACATAAATATGGTCTACCTTCAGGTGTTTACTTGATGACTGATTAAATTCTTAAATTAAAAACATCCTAAGACCACCTAAATGTTTTAGCTTGTAATAAATACATTAAAAAAATTTTTTTTTAAGTTTCACTAACTGGAGTCATTCAAAACAAAACTTGCTAATTTTTTTTCTAATTTTAATTCTTACATTTAAAATACAGACTCACAATAATTGAACATTAAGAAATGTTAGAATTATGACACATTAAAAATGAAAGTCCATTGTTTTAACCAAAAAAATGTATCTATCTTTAAGAATTATTTTGAGTAGAACCATTGAAAAAATGTGCATGTACACATCTGGTATATAAATGCATATTCAGATATGAATCTATTCAGGAGTAAAATAGCAACTTTAAGAATGTTAATAAGAATGACAGGTGGAAGCAAGCATAGGATACCAGAGATTCATCTGACTATGCAAAATGTTTAATAAAAGCTGTTTAATAATTAACTGAGAATCTAGTAGGCGTAAGTGAACTTCCTGAATAACTGTCTTTTTACTGAGATCACAGACAGAAAGGTGGAAATCTGTGGCTGTGGTTTTCAAGGGTAGTTCTTCTGAAATATGTAATTTCCTTAGGGCAGATCAGGAATTATATACATACACAAGATTCAGTGAGTGCACTGTCTCAGTGAATAAATTACTATCTTGAGAGTAAGGTTATCAACTGCTTTCAAATATGCCAGGGCTCATAATGTAGCTACTGAGGCTGCCTAATTTTAACAGTTTTAGATATAAGAGAGATGTTTGACAGCCTGAGGCCCAACACCCTCATTTTGAAGGTTTGGAAATTAAATCAAAGAGAAGAGATGACTTTCCCAAAGGAATACTGTGGCCGAAATGCAAATTAAACTCAAATATCTCAGCCCCTAATCCAAAGCTCATTTCATCAATTCTCCAGTTATCTGAGGAATCTGACACATTAGGTACTACACAGTTTTGTTATACAAACAAAAACACAGTCTATTCTGAAAGGTTTTTTCTCCACAGTAAGTCAGAGATTCCCAGACAAATTCCCAGAAGATTCCCAGACAAATTCAAGAATTCAGCTTTTCCACTCTGCTTGAAAGATAAGTACTAGCATAAAGGAAAAATGTCTTACCTCTTGAATTAAAGGTAAAATTCACAAGATTATCCTCTAGAAGTAGAAACTAGAAAAAGAGACTTTATATCACAGGAAGAGTTGCTAGTTCTTTCTCAACAAAGCATGATCTTTAACATTGTAAATTATAAAACTTGTGTAGTAACACTGACACTCTGGGTCAGAAAATATAAAATGACTTCAACCTGTAATTTCTCTCCCTAAAATACGGCCACTTCATAACCTCTCAATGCCAGTTTCTGTGTGTGTGCGAACACACACAGACACACACATGCACAAACACCAAGGTACTTACTGAGCTGTAGAGATAGCCTTCACCATTCATGGCCACATAGAGGCTGGCCTTCACCCCTTGGATGGCCACCACACGCAGGCCCACAGGGATTAGATTGAAGAGGGCTAGAGGGCAAAAAGAGAGGAAAAGATCAATGACCTTTTGATATATCATCTTGCTTCTTAAAATGACTCTTTTGAGGATTAAAACCTATGAACTGATATTAGTTGGGGGAGGGCAGCTCTAAGAATGAGGAGAACTGGCTTCTTGTTTCTGCAGCATGACTAATTATTAACACTCTGTGACTTCAGGTAAATCACATAAACTCATCTGTAATAAAGGGATTAGATTAGAAGGACTCCAAGAGCCCCTCATGGATCTGAGAGTCCAGGATCTCCACTCTACAAAATGAACATACACTCAAATAGTATAAGAGGATCTTTTCTAACAAACAAATAATTTGAACCAAACAATTCTTAACAGAAGAAAACACATTTCGAATTGTAATTAAAAATAAAATGTGATCTTCATAACATATGCCAGAGCTTCTTTTCCCTGTGGTCCTGAATACTGTCTTAAACACACAAGATGAAAGCACAAACCACTGGCTTATACTTAACTATGCTAGAAACAGAAGAACAGTTCTCTTTATTTTCCAGTTTTTACATATAAATGTAGATAGATGGATCAATGATTGCTAGATAGCTTAAGCTCTGATGGACATATATATCAAATATATACAAATATGTCCATATTTATGCACAAAACCATTAAAAATCAACTTCATAAATTTAACTCAATATCCTAAGATAAAATTAGAATATGTTTGTAGTCTTTCAATATTTGTGCTGTCCACTACTGAAAATATTCAACAGTCTATTACTTGTCTACTTGGAGAAGGTACATAAATATCAGGAAGAAAATAAATAAGATAATCTAATTCCTTCAAAAGTGTACTTCTATAAATTATATATCCTTATATAGCACTATTTTAGTTAACACTGATAATTACAAAATGAGCATATGCATAAAACATTATCTCTATCCTGAAAGAATTCATATTACCTAAAGGAGGAAAGCAATCATATAGCTAGGCTGTATAGATGGAAACATGAATATGAATGAAATATTTATAACAACTAAATATTTATAACATAAGAGAATAGCCCTGTATTTCACTTTAACACCCTGCTTTAGTTAGAAGTTCTTATCTATCTTTTCTGCTGATAAAATTATCAGTTCTGGTCTCAGTTTTGAGTATAAGATACACACACACACACACACACACACACACACACACACACATATATATATTTTCTGCGGTTCTCTCAACATGGATTAGTAAGCCAGACATACACACATACGCAAGACACAGACACACACACACAAGACACAGACACACACACAGTATTTGGCTTTTAGTCAAATGTCCAACTGATAGTTGTAAAGGACCACGCCTAAGACCACAAGTTTAATAGAGCAGTACTCAATTCCTAGATATTTGACATCAGACCAGTCTCTTTGCCTCTTTGAATCTTTTTCCTCATCTGTCATGAAAGCTGAGACTAAATCTTAGCAGATGCTTAAGAATTAATTGTTACCGCAATTTGAATCTGTACTTGTTTTTGTTCCTCCCATGTTCTTACAATTGTCCTTGTGTTACTGAAATGAGAAGTAGTATAATACCTTAAAGTCTAGATGGGGAGAGAAAGCTAAGGCATATGGAATAATCTGATACAGTGTATAATGTATTTCTATAATTAAATGTAATATATGCATTCTATATATATATATATATATATTCTCTATGTACAGAAGTTCAGGGAAATGGAAGATCTGTGATCTGAAGTGTTCAAGAAATGTCTCACACAGAAGAGGAGACCCAAGTTGACACTTAAAAAAGGGACAGAAGTTGAGTAGGCGAAGATCAGAAACATTATAGTAGGGCAGGAAGTAAGAGTTTCTGCAGGGTAGTGTATGTGTATAGGAAGGGACTAGCAGATTGAAGGATTTGATTCATACTGGAGAGGAATAGGCAAGAACACCATGGAGATAAAGTAGGGAGAAATACCTGAGAGTCTGGCACTTCTATCTTAGAGATCTAGATTTTACCAAATGGGCAATAAGAAGTGTGGTGTATAAACATTAAAGCAGCAATACAGATTACAAAAAAGTGGGAGAGATTCATAGACAGAGTAGTTTCTAAACTCATCACTCAGAAGCTCTGTGCCTTGGAGCCATTTGTTTAATCTCTCCGCTTTAGTTTTCCTGTCTGTAAAATGGGCACAATAATCCTTAAAGCGTAGAATTGACAGAAGAATAAAATGCACTATCACATCCTTGAAATAAAGAGATGTGTTCTCTCTATTAAAGAGTTATTTGTCACTGACATATGATTCCTCTGCTTGTCAAATAACGTAACCATAAGGTCTGATATAAATTGACATATCACCTGACCTATATCTACTCAGCTTACATTCAGAAGATCACTTACCACTTTTAAAATAATACTTTATTTTTGTGCAGCACAATTTTCAAAGTGTTGATGAATTCCTCGTTGTATTTGACCCTCAACCATCAACACAATGAAGAACTTAGGACAGAATGATTAGCCTAATTTTTAGAAGAGCAAACAGGTTCAGAGAGGTAATCCTGGTGCAAATGCAACTGAACAAAGGTTTTCTGGCTCTCTAATGTGGTTGGCTCATTGGAAAAGACCCTGATGCTGGGAAGGACTGAGGGCAGGAGGAGAAGGGGACGACAGAGGGTGAGATGGCTGAATGGCATCACCCACTCGATGGACATGAGTTTGAGTAAACTCCGGGAGTTGGTGATGGACAGGGAGGCCTGGGGTTCTGCAGTTCATGGGGTCGCAAAGAGTCGGACATGACTGAGTGACTGAACGAACTGAATGTGGTTATCTGCCCCAAATATCGGAGAAGGCAATGGCACCCAACCAGCACTCTTGCTTGGAAAATCCCATGGATGGAGAAGCCTGGTAGGCTGCAGTCCCTGTGGTTGCTAAGAGTCAGACATGACTGAGCGACTTCACTTTCACTTTTCACTTTCATGCACTGGAGAAGGAAATGGCAACCCACTCCAGTGTTCTTGCCTGGAGAATCCCAGGGACGGGGGAGCCTGGTGGGCTGCCGTCTATGGGGTCGCACAGAGTCGGACATGACTGAAGCAACTTAGCAGCAGCAGCCCCAAATATCCTATTTCCTCCTCCTTCTCTTTTAAGTTTAATTTCCCCAACAGCCATTCTCACCTTCTTGAAAATAATAGATAATTTAGTTAAATTTCCATACATAGCCTGTGTCTAACTGTGGCAATGGATCAGTACTGACCAATGAGATAAAGGCAGAAATGTCTTTGTACTCTCAAATATCCTTTTCTTCAAGACAACTGCCCTTTGCCCTCTTCTACCATTTTCCCTCTTGCTGTTTGGATGGGGATGAGGTTAGGGTTGTTGGATTACCTCAGGTCATGAAAACAAGGGCTGCCCCTTGAGAGGGTGATGACAAGTGAACTGTAAAGAGTTGGGCCCCTGAGGACTTTGTGGAGCAATGGCACCAGTCCAGCTTTCAATTACCTAGGTCTGGCTTTTATGTGAGAAAAATAAGTCCTTGTTACTTTAGTCTGTGCAACCTACTTTAGTTACTTTAGTCTGAGCCAAACCTACTTCTAACTGATAGACATCGGGAGCAAAAGTGGAGTCAACACATGAGGTATGAACTATGTTTACACACTGCAAATAAATGCAACAACTGGAAAATAAGTTCAATGATGATACTTATGAAAAAGAGTAGTGAAATCCAAAATTGTCCATAATGTCTTTCTAAAGTAAAGATTTCCCAGGACAAATGCGAAGAACATTGGTTCATTTAGCTAAAACAGGATTAAAAAAGCAACTATAAAGCTTTTCCTATCTGAGGAGAGTGAGAAAACTGCTAAAGCAAGACAGAGACAAAAACGAGGAACTTGTGTGAAAGTTTTATATGAACCATAAGGTGATAATGGCTTTTAGATGGTACGCTTTGGGAGATTTAGCAAGTTCATTAAAAACAAAGTCAGTAAACAATCTGGAATGAGACTTTTTAGTGGTAAAAGCTAAAAGCTATTCTCTTTGGGAGGGTCTGCATCTGCCTCTTAAACCTTGAAGAATGGCAAATGACTTACTCTGATCTATTATTTATCTTCCACACAGCACTCTGGCCCCAGCCCTTTGTTACTCAGTGACAATCCCTCCTATATCTCCAGTCTTCCTTTCCATTCTCAAAAAGCAACTGGGCCACACCGTTCTTCCAAGTCCTTTCTCTCTACTCATGCCACTTCCCCGCTGTCAGTTCCCTGCTTGATTCCTCAAGTGACTATTCATCATCTACAGGACGGATCCAAAGCCTTTAGTCTGACCCTCAATGCCCTTTACCACCTGACTGTAAACCACACTTCCAGTTTATCACCTGCAACTTGTTCCATTCATCATAAGCAGTTTCAGAGAGCTTTTTGCCATGTCCTAAGTTTCCCCTTGATCTTAATTAAACTAGATTCTATTTATGGTTCTTTTGCCCTCTCTTTTTGGAAGATATGTTTTTAGAAACCCTATCTTTCTTATTTAACTGGACCATAAGTCTTATCCAAACCCTTGAGAGATAAGTTTCCTTTTCCATAATTATTTATTTCATGGGCATATCTCTGCAATGGTTCTTGGAACACAGTAATAGAGTTATTTGCTTACACATCTGTCTCCTTCCTTAAGGACTCTTGAGGGTAAGTCTATGCAATGTCTACCCCAGTTCTATGTACTTACCTTATTTTCAGTAAATATTATTAATTATAATATAAGACATTATTATAGAACAGACATTATTTCTAGGAATGTATAAAGAAAAGTTGATTGTTAAGATGAAAAGGAAATGAAAAACTTAAAACATCTCAGCTCAATATTCAAGGTTATTTATATATAATCTATATTTCTGCTCTACTGCATTACTCATTCTAATATATTTATTTACTGCTTCTAGTAATTTGATCGTCTTCCTCCTTTCTTGTAACTTCATGTTTTTCCTTACTTCACTGCCTGTGCTTGCAATGTCATTCACCCAATATCTTCACATGGAAACTC